AAGAAAACGCTGCAGAGGAGTGGAAGCTTCCGGCACGAACATTGCTATCTTTCTGATCGTTCTGAAATCGCAACTTACTGCACTGTTTTCTGGCTGATAGGGAAAACTCCTGCTTGTTACCTTCCTGGAACTGTTGGAATATGTGTAGCTCCATATCCGCAGACGATATCGTTGCCAAAACAATCTAACCCGTAGCAGCTAAGTACTATTTGTGGCCCTGCAACAGCACATTTATCGGTTATGAGAGCTGATAAGTAAACATTGGGAGGTTAAAAGTTTACACAGCTACGCGATTTTTGTAATTCATTTCCTTAAGAAGGACTGCGGACGAGTACGAAAGCCAGATTTCTCATCGACATCAAAACCATCTTCACAACTCACTCTTTGAATAGTGTTTACAAAGTGTACCCGAACTTTATAATTAACTTAGCATTTGATATCAAATATAAAACATTTACTTCTCGAAGCAAGCGCTTCAAGCAGGTGCTCGTTGAGGACAACCACCGGTGATGAGTGCCCCCTAAGCTCGAGCTCTGCGTAGGAGAAGACAATGGTGATTTGGCTGCATGATCGCATGTTTCAGCACAAGTTTGTTGTCGCAGCGAGTCACAGAGGCGCTCATCTGCTCCAGCACAGCGACAGCAGCATCCTTACGACCAACACACATAAAAACTTACAACCAAACGGATTTGTGGAAGTGAAGGTAGCTTCGAAAGGCATCGCAATAGTAATGATGTTGCTTCGGGTACGGCCGCACTCACATTTGGCGGATAGGCCTTCGCGAACGCCAGCAACTTGCTCCCAGTCAGCGCCGTAAACATATGAATATTTGCAGTAGAGATTATCGAACGAATGGAACTACAAATATTGGCGCGTTACTGCCTTATAATAGACAAGTCCTGTGTGTTTCTCCTTGGCAATCCCTGGAGCAAACTGAGGCTTTAAGAATGTAGTCATTCGCCTTGTACGGTAACCGCTGAATTCTCGCTGTGTCCTGGCTTATGAGTTCAAGACTAATTAAGGCTAGTGCCTTAAAACGGAAAGAAGAGAAGTACGAATACCCAGAAACCGCCAATTTTATCTTGCATGCAGTTTTCTGGAAACTTGATCTGTTATCCGACCCAAATAAGTTCATACTATGACCGCAGATAGTGCAAAGCAAGATTGTCATATTGCATCATTTCGAACTCTGAAGCTTCTTACACAACGGAGAGGATTACAGTGGGGCGCAGGGTAACACAGTGAATTGCTGGTGTAGTATTGCAGTCTCTTAAACTTGTTTCAGAACCGCAAAGCTGTCTTAGGATGCTCTTGTCGAGCAAACAGCTGAAGCTTGCCTGGCACACCAAGTTAGAGGAATTGATGCCAGTTCAAGACAAGACGCAAAGCTCAGTTCCGATTCGGCATTTATCCTGTAATTAGACGA